AGGCCTGCACCTTCAGCTATTTGGCGAGAGGGGAGGCCTTTCCCTCCCGGCAGCCACCACCCTTCAACACACCGCTCCCCTGGCTGCTGGGTGCCCAGCTTAGGGATGGGAGAGGATATCTGAGCCCCAAAGGCCCATTTTGGCAGCACGATTCCCTGGTGGCTGGTCTACGTGGAGCAGACCTAGGAGGCCTACAGAGCAATCTAGGCAGCAGCTCACAAGTGTGTGGGGTTAATTGGCCCTGTTAACCCTGAGAGATAATGAGCCCTTCTTGCACCTGTGCCAACCCAGCTGTGGTGTAGGCCATCCTGGAGAGAGAGAGCTCACTCAGGGCAGCTTGGCCCTTTGTGTGGTGGAGCATGAAGAGTCATCGCTGCTTCCCTCAGTTTGTTAGAGCTGAGCAGGAGCAAGCTCAGGAGCGCTGCTGGCTGCGCCACGTTTTTGTGCTCCTAATGACACAAGTCTAAAGAAAAGATAATTTGGCTTCTTCCAGTACTTGCTGTAGCTAAATTCAACTCACAGTGTGAGTCTGGATTTGTTTCAGATGAAATTGAGTACGTGAAATAATATGTTTGGCCATTGTTCCAAAGCTGTGAATTGCATGAAAATAAATATTAATTTCTTTAATCAATAGAGATATCATGAGCAGAAAAGCTAGGTACAGAGACGAATGAAGACTAATGTGGTCTCATTTGATGGCAATCACTAGTAATACAACTGCTATGAGGGGAAGGAAGGAGAGCACATCTTGCTGTCAGTCACACAAGAATAAATCAGGAGGAGGTCCTTTGAAGCCAGTGGATTCATTTTGATTTATACTGGTGTGACTGAGGGCACAGTTTAGCTCTTTTTGGTTGTAAAACCATAAATACAAGTCCAAAATTGGCCTCTGGATTTGTAATACTTTTTTTTTTTTTTCCCTGCAGATTGATAGCTTGGAAGGAAAAAAAAGATATGTGATCGTGTAAAAATAAGCAATGAAATCTGAAGGAATTGTTTTCTGACGTAATTTCTTAGTTCTTAATCTGTCATATCTACTTATATTGTAGTATGTGTTTATCATCTAGACATGTAAAATCATAACTGTATTGTTCAAACACTTAACTACATTAACCCTCTCCCTCCCACTTTTCCCACATTTGTCACCTCTGTTTTAACTAGATGCAAACCTAGTGCTGCCAATAAGCCTTTGAATAGCAGGTCAATATGTTAAACAGTTCATAGTCTGTACAAATGTTGGGAAAGCAGAATAAGGAGGATGGATATAGTGAAGTAGGCTGTGATGGCAGACATTACTAAGCCTGCTTTCCATCTGCTTGTATCTAAAGGAGCTACAGAAAAGTGAATGCAAAGTACTACCAGGTAGATGGGGTAAGTTTAGCAATCCATTTTGCAAATATCTGTAGTAATGTATGGATTGTTAGTGTGTAAGGGAGCTGAAAATTTGGCTCTGCAAATTGGATTTAATAAACTGTCCTTCTATCTTTCTATATTTGGAGCAACTTCTCTGTAGTCCACAGAATTAACCTGGGGTCAAGCTGTGGTTAGCAAGGAGATATTCTGACCCTAGAGACTTGCAGAAAATGAAACCTGAAATGTCAGTTTTCATGAGATACTGGCTCTTTCATTTGATTGTGAATTTCATCTTCAAGCTGACTTGATCACAGACAGAAGCATGATCACAAATGCTTCCTTTCTTTCCTTATCCTCCTATGTCAATATAACCTTGCTTTGTCTTGACATTGTAAGAGTCCCTGGAAAGATCACTGCAGATTTTCTAACACTACCTCAATTACAGCTGATGATGGCTACTGAAGATCTCTTTGAAATAGGCAAATATATTGACAGCACCTTTAAACAGAAATTCTTCACAACTGAAGGTGACACTGAAGCTCTTGGGAGCTGAAGTGAAATTAATGTGGGTGGATTCACTGCCAGAAAGAAGGTAGAGACAAGGCACTTAGAGAAACTTCCCATGTTTTGCCACAGTCTGCAGGTACAGAGATGCACACACTGTGCCAGATATCCTACTGGTGCAGCTCTTACCTTCCCAACATACAGAGGGTCAGTTCCTGTGTACTCCTCCAGAACGAAGAACTGGTTCCACACCCAGCTCCTCTTCATACGCTGATGCAGCTTGTCTGACAGGTTGTCTTCTGGCCCTTCAGTGAGTGGCCTGGCACTTCCTGACAGCACAGTTGTAGTAAGGTCCATCAGTCCCCAAAAATACAAGGAGACCCCGAGTCCAAGCAAGTTCTTTGCATTTCTCATTCTACCCGAAGTCCACATATACGAGGGTTGACTTAGAAGTCAAAGCACAGTATCTTAGGTCCCGTGAGAAGAAAGTAGGTCCTTTTTGTAGTCCTTTGAAATGTCCAAGAGAGATCCTGGTTCTGGGAATGACAGCCTCCTGTAAAGTTAAAGGAAATTCATAGGAGGATGTTTTTTTCCCCCAAAGAAAAAGAGTTTCCTCGATAGGCAAATATGCTATAAAATATTTAATCTTCAATATAAAAATATAATAACAGAATGCACAAATTCTGAAGCTAGGAATACTATTACCATATAAGCTGCAGAACTGGAACCTCAGATACAAGAATCACCAGGGCTTAGTCAATAAGTAAGAGTGCTCTACTTTGCTAACTTAGCCGTAGTGTTGCTTTATAGTATTGATTGGCATGAGTTAACTGCGTACTCTTTAGAAATATTTATGACCAGAAGTCATTAGAGAATATTTAAAAACTGTTCACTCTGGAAATTTATAATAGCTGGTGAACACTTTTTGGCAACTGGCTTTTTCTTTCTGTTTAGAAACCAGGTCATTGTCATTACACACACGTGCATGCCAACATGTCTACTTAAATACACATATTGCTACATTGCAAACCTTGAATTTCATTTCTAGTAGCTGCAAGTTATTTCTGTTTTTAATTATTCTTTAAACCTTCCCTGTTTCTTGAATTCAGTTTTCACACTCTGCTGCCTCCTCTCTGAGGAGCTGATTGCTGCTACAAATGCAACATTTCTGGAATTTGAATGGTCAGTTAATCATTTTATAACCCACAAAAGGTTTCAGAGTGCTGACGGTCACATGCTATTATGTGATATGTCCAACCAAGTCAAGCTAACACATTTTTCCTCCACAAGCCTGAAAGACCTGTTTAGGCTGAGGAATGCTGACCTCTATCAGAGGACACTTTCTCATCAGTCTAGGATCTTTTGTTGTCATGAAGTCAGATTAGTTGGTGACCTCACTCCAGGCTATGGATTGGAGCAACCCTTTCCTTCACCGTTTTCCTGGGTTTAATGATGTGATGCTGCACTCAAGCTACTCTGCCAAAACACTCCATACATCCTCTGTGGGCCCAGTGTTTTTGCTCGGCTCTCAATTCTCTTGGAGACAAATGGACTCATTAGGAAAGGCATATTGGGCTCTGAGGCTTAAGCGAGTAGTATAATTTCATTTTACTGCCATTCTGTAGTTAAGTCTTTAGGCTTAATTAATTGTTTTATCCTGTGGAAATAAAAAGCAGTAGGAGACATCTGTCAAATATTCCTAATTGAAATTCGTGAAAGATTTCAGAATCTTAAGAAGTATTTTAAACATTTGCACAATAATATTTTGAAGTGAAGACTGAGACAGTACAATGCTCTCAACAGAGAAGAAGAGAGCGTTAAAAAATTCCCCGGCATCCGAGTTGATGTAACTGGAGGCCTGGGACCCTTAGAAATCTACTGAAACAGCAATTCAGAATTTAATTCAGAAGTTCACTGAAGTCTGAAAAAGGCAGCTTAAGTCTGGAGTAAATGTCCACAAGGGAAGTAAACCCAAAATAACTATCTTAGGCTGATTTCTGTACACAACAATGTTTCCAGGTATGAAGCCCAGAAGGAATATGACTACACAGTGCTGCTAGTAGTGAAGCATAAAAAAACCACAACTAGCATGCTCTTACCTTGAAAAGTTTAAAACTTAAGGTTAGGTATAAGAAAGAAAGGACAAACTATGACCACAACCACAGAACATGGTAGATCTCTTTTAAGCACAGCAATTTACAGAACTGCCAATTCTGTAAATATGCACTATATAATGTAGATAAGGGCTACATAATCCTTAGCTCCCAATAGCCAAAATACAGTTACACTTGGGGAAAGGAGGCTGAAGTCCATATCACATCATAGGTACATACACCTTGCTCTTAGCACGTTGTCAACAGCAAGTTTTTCTCTGCAAAGACATGACTGATAGTGTTTTACTGGTGAATAAAGGTGGGGAGAAGCCTCCCACAACTGCTGTCCACAATCTGAGGGAACCCATCACTGCCTCCACCGTGTAACGAAGGGAGAGCAGAGGCCAGCAGGGTCCAAGGTCCCACATGGAGTTTTTACTTTAAGAAGTTCCATAAATGGAACTTCTGGAACTTCTTTTAAGAAGTTCCAAAAATGTTAGTTACATTTTTGTCTGTATGACCAAAGAAGTGACACTACATGATGAACCAATTCCTGTGGCAATGAGAATCGTGCTTATAGGTGAATGCCCAAGCCATGAATTCGGAACTAAAGGTGCCAGTTGTCTCCTGCAATTAAATTCAGCCAACAAGGGTCAATAGTCAAGGTAGTATTGAGATATGGATAAAAAAAAAAATCACAGAACTTCCTATTCCCAGTGCAATACTACTTAAAGTAGGGTGACTATTAGAAAACTTGCCATTATGCAATAAAAAATCTTGTAGAGGGATGTTCCTTTCCCATTTAATGGCAGCCCACAATGACATGGTCATATATTTTTATAGGCAGGGGAGATCACGCCAGAGATGAAGTGCCTCAGATTGTTTGTTTATTTGTTGTGTTAGTACCAGAGTTTCTGGTTGTCTCATTCCTTTCCTCAAACTTGTCACATTTTCCTTCTTGCCTAAAGGCAAATTACTACTATTAATAACAGTGTTTAATCACAAATAGTTCCTCTACCTCTGAAATTGAAAGAGAATTGGCTTTTTTTTTTTTTTTCCCTATCTCAGGTTTTCAGTTCATATTAAAAGAATGAAAATGACTTTTGTAAACTTCTGGCCTGTGGTGCTCTTGATCTCCTTGGGGCTCCTTTTCCTCAGCTTTACCTATTGTTGGCCCCTGGATATGCAAGGGGTACTATTTCTATAACAAGGTATTTCTCATCAGCATAAAAGGCACTGATGGACAGGTAGGGATCGAACTGTGTGTGAGTACAAGAGATAGCTGAGGTACAGATAAGGTCATGGAAGACTGGGTCCTTCAGAGTACTTGTGCAGATGAAGGCTGCTTCATCAGCTGAGTGTGATGGATGAGGATGGAGTCACTTGGACTGTAGATACAACAGTTGGTGAGGATGATGGCCATATGCTTTGAGTGTGCTAACTTGGTGTAGACCTTGGAGCTTTTTGCCACAGATGGATGACACAAGCATTGAGGCAGAATCTGTGCTGCCTCAGGCTGGGTAGTTCTTTACAGGGGGATAAGGAGGACTGGTCATACAGCAAGGCACTTGTTGGCATGATTGAGTGAGACCTCTAACATTCTCTTAATTCAAGTTGTTTCTTGGAGCCCTTCAAAACAGGCTCTGAAGGATATCTGCAAAGATGGAATTGAAGTTGTCATATGACTCTTTGTTATATGAAATACATTATAGAAACTCACGTTTCATGGCTCAGAATGGGGGTGGGCAAAAGATTTTAAAGCAGTGAAGGGAGGGAAATCTTGTTTTGCTTGTTCACACATGCACACAAAAACAAAGATATTAAGCCTAAGAAGATTGCATGGCCACAGCCTGCACAGGGTTATTTTATTTTTCAAGAAAAAATTACGTGTGTTTCAGAACCTGGTTTGTTACCCACAGCTGAGTACCCCATTAAAATACGCTTAGCTGCATCTGTGCAGTTTAGATCCCTGACCCAAAGGGAACACCTTTCTTGGCCCTGCTTTTGTGATGAATATTTGATTACTAGCTCAGTTGTTTAGGCTACTTTTTTTCCTGCTCTTGCCTTGCAGATGTTGCTGAAAATCTTTTTTCTTGCCACTCAACAGTAACAAATATGGCTTTTGGCTTCATAAAGACCCGTGAAGATCTAATTGAACCCTGTGCAACTGGTGGCCTACACACAACACAAAGGAAGCATCTAATTGTTCTACACAAAAGAGTCACAATAATGCACTTTCCACTGTTGCAAATACAAATTTCTCTTTCAGCACATACTGCGCAAATAAATTAGGCATATTCCAAGTGTGAGCTCCTGTTTATGCTCCATTTTTAAAGACTCACCCAGCCCCCCTCCCCTCCATATTTGTACAGTAATTAAACTATTCTTAATCTAATATCTAATTCTGGTCAAAGATGAAAAGGAAAAAGAAATATCTGCCAGAACTGACTTCTAGCATTTCTTGCATGTGACCCATTTATCATGTTAATTCTGAAGGGAACAGCACTCCCAAAGAAAGGATAAAAATATTAATAGTTTGGATGACCATGCAGAGAGTTCCACTGGGATTGAAATGTATTGTGCTCAATACATATTTACATAAATGCCAAGGATTTTATAGTTAAAAAGCTGAAACTTGAAAAGGCTTATACACATGCTTAGTGCATTTGTCATTTTGAGCAAGTGGTCTCCCAGAAAGTCAGTGGACTATTTGCATTCATAAAATTAATTACATGCTTGCATCTTTTGTCCTTGGTCCTTCCAATGGATTTTGTTGTGTGGACCCAGCACTCATGTAGAATACTACAGAGTTTACTGGATCCTATGTGGGTACATTGCCTGAGCAGAGGCAATTCACTTACAGGAGACATATTACACTGAAAAAAGTGGGGAAGAAAGAGGCAATCACTTTCAAAATCAGCCCCCAACTTTCTCCATACATAAATACACAGATATGTGTGATAAATTTTCTCTGTACATAAATACATAAATACGTGTGATATTTTATATATATATATATATATATAAATGCTTCTTAGCAGCATATACCCTGAACTAATAATATGTTAATAGAAAATGATTTCTGTGCTTAATGACACCTTTAAAAGAGCCCCCCCCCACTCCCCCCATTTTGTCAAAAGAAACCGAACTACTTGGTAATGAACCCAGTAGGGAGGAACTGAAGTTGAATGAAAAGAATCTCCAAGTGTGCTATTTGCTTAGTTCCTTGAATTTCTTGTGATATTTTGAACCCAAGGTGGGGGTGTAAGTATTGTGTATTTTTTTTCCCCTCATTGAATGATTTATTCTTTTATGTTTTCACAGATTACTTCTTAGGTTTCCTGTATCCTTACTTGCTCACAGCTTTGTTGTAAGATGCCTTTGCAACAACCCTACAGGAGTGCCAATCTTTAAGAAGGTGTAGGCTGTGTTCGGCACTAGGCAGACCACCTGTAAAAGG